ACACGGATGCACTTTATCTGTTACGCGATCATCGATACGTGAATACATCACACTTACTCAAACGTATTAGCCAGCGAGCCCGTGCAGGCCGTTTGAGTGCACGGTCAGTTTTGAATCAGGCACGAAGCCTTAATTTATTATTAAGCCGTGTACATTTGTACCCACTGCACTTCCAAAATTGCGCACTTCCCACAATACTCATTTCCTGGCTTAATACCCTGGCACCTATAGATTTAACGGGATGGCACGACCCGTCGTCGGCGGCGAACAACTATGGATCTCGTATGAGCCGCTCAATGCTCACCAAGTGAACATTGCAAAGCCTGACACATTGGGTTTGACTGACGGTTCTCGCCTCCAACACAATATGCTCTTCTTAGAATGGACTAGCTATCCCCTTTCCCTCACTGCTTTCTTGGCTCACTGTGGCAGTTGGCTGTGTTTACCGTGCTCCACCGATATGCCACTGGCAGTTGGGCGCACTCGAGATGCATCGATCGGTGGTAATCAGTACTGCTGTAGTGTTTGGCCTGGCTTAATTGAGTGTAAGCGAGGATTGATGTTACCCGCTTAAATGTAGATCGGCCTGTAGCGATGCAACTAATGAAACTCCACTCAAGGCAGTCTGTGTTCAGGCACAATCGTATATTGGTTTCTCAACCGCACATGACGCCAAACTACGAAAAAGCACAGTTTAGGCACGCAGACGCGTCGTCCTTCGCGCACTCACGTCCGCACACCCCCCTCACAGCCCAAGCACCTTCTGCTTTTATACAGCTCTTCTCGCATAACAAAGGCACGCGTCTCTGGCACGCGCTCGGACAACCACACCTTGTCCCTGCGCCGCACATGACTACAACCTCCCTCTAACCGGTTTTGATTCACCATCTCCATCATCCATACTACTATCAAACACGCTACGCCCGACCAACAGCCATTATGAACACAGTTCGCTTACATTTCCAAATCACTTACAACTACTAATTTGTTACAATCTGCACCCATTCTGCCATTAGTTACAGGTGGCAGCTCTCTATTTCAGCCTATAGGCGGTTCGCCGTCAGGTGAAAGGATGAGTGCTGCTACTATACCTATTCTGTCTTGCAAATGTCTGTTGCCCTTACTAACAGTACGGATGGTGAGCTTTTCCACAGCTTTAATCTGATAAGGCAACTTAACACGTTGCCGCCCGCTCTTAGCTCGATGACGGCGGATGCTGCGTGTCACGTTGGGCTCGATAGGGCGGATACAGCGAAGGCGAACATGCTCTTTGACGAGGTTTCCTGATACCATCCCTAGAGATGCCTTCCCTGTTTGGCAGTGCTTTTTTTTTTTTGTCCTTATTGCGTGACATGCATTATACGAGGCTAAACGTGTATAAGAATCCCACACTCCACCACAGAGTCACCGCAGTAGACGTTAGATGAGCCTGTCGCTCCGCGGCACTTGTTCGTTGGCATCCGCTGCACTGGCTTCATGGGCTATGGGGCGCACCGGAGGGATCCACCGATGCTATATCTTGTTTTTCCCTCGTGGGCAGCGGACCCGCGAGGGAGGCGCCCGAGCCACAGTCCTCCTTGCTATGGCGGGCCGCGTCCGGCAGTCGCTCCACTATTTGCCATCTTTCCATTTCATTCAGTTACACTTGGCATCACTTCCACTGGGTATCGTTAAACGACCTATAATTAAAGGTAGATACCATGTTGCATATACCAGACGAGTTATTCTTCAAATCTAAAGCCGTTGTTGGTGCAATACATTTTTATTACCCGCGTTACCTAACTACAGCACCGTACGATCGCGGCGTTTAGTATCACACAAATGTCCGTCTGCTCCGAGAGTATATAGTCTCTCTGCGACCTCATAGGAAGTACTATTAATTTATTTGAGCATTATGGGTTACAAAGCAGCGTGCGAAAATTCCATACCACCCTTATGTACCAAGCTATAGTATGGTGAGTTGAAGATTCAATCCTCTAGGTGCCACCACATTACAGTCGGATCAATTTTCACTGAGCCGCGCCGTCTCTAATGGAGGAATCGCAAACGCGGTTGTCATATTTACACGCTCTCCGTGATTTTGAAACTGAGTTCCAGTTTCCAAATGTTTAGGGAGTTCAAGACGAGGAGTTCTATAGGCGGAGGAGACGTATAGTTGCACACACGACAGTCCGTCACGCAGCTATTAAATGTCACATAACTGGCGGCCATGTTAACAGACGTTGAAAACAAATTGGTCTGTCGCTTCCTGTCGATTAAAATACATTCATTACACATTTCGCTTTCGACATTAATTAAAGCTTAAACCAGCTTTTTTTATGCATTTTGTTTATAAAGTAATCGAATGTGTACCTATTGAAAAAGAGTACGACTCAGGTAAATGCTCATCAAGAATATGTGGTTGGGGAGCGTAATTACTGTTAGAGATTTCCGGTTACACGAAGACTCTATTTCAAACAACCACACACTCCGCACGCGGGGTGTTGCTCCATCTCTCTATCCCTCTAACCCTACCTATGGGCCTTCCGCCACCCCGGCCTCCTCCGACTCCCTGATATCCTGCTCCTAGACCGGCTATCAACCTATACCTAAACACTAGTGCTGCCACGGGTTGCGGGTGTGGACACCTCTCCACTGGCAGCCCCGCTGCCGTGATAGCCTGCTACCCTTTATTTACATGCTGGACTAGCGTCGATATTAGTAGTTCCTGGTTTTGCGTCGACGCTTCAAATTGGCCCGAGTAATTTTCCCCGCTTGCCATAGGTCGCAGGATACTGCATAATCAGGGTCCATTTTTGAGGTTCGTATTGCGCCTCCTTAATCCCTGGTCATGCGTCAATCTGCCACTTTACCATGGCTCGAGCTTTTCCTCGGCCCTCTACATTCTGATTTGTGCGATGGTATGATTTCTTAAATGGAATTTGTGTGTAACCTGCATGCGTGCTTCCCGATCCAACTGGTTTTTAGTTATTCTCAAAAAATGCGCGCCCGCCCTTGTAGTGGTCGGGGTGGGTACCGACTGCTATCCCCCGGCGTGGGGCGACGTAGGGGCGGCGCTGCTACCGCCCAACAGCGTAGCAGCGACGGCATATTTGTTGTTGGATTCGTGTTGGAAGTGCGGGCGCTGGATGGTGCAGGTGTTAGGCGTTACCGCGATGGGACGACTACTGCTCGGCTTTGGACAGTATTAGCTCAACCTGGCCTATCACGTGGCGAGGACCCTCCTCCACGTCACCCAGGGCGGAGGTGACGATAGCAATTCACCCCGTAAGATTACAACGCCAGCAACGATGCGCAGAGCACACGGCGATTATCGCCCCGACACCCCGTTCTGTGGTGGGTGTGATGCGTCGCGTATCGATATATCATGACAGAAAGTGCATCCGTTCTGTGGTGGGTGTGATGCGTCACGTATTGATATACCATGACAGAAAGTGCATCCGTTCTGTGGTGGGTGTGATGTGTCACGTATCGATATCGTGACAGAAAGTGCATCCGTTCTGTGGTGGGTGTGATGTGTCGCGTATCGATATCGTGACAGAAAGTGCATCCGTTCTGTGGTGGGTGTGATGTGTCGCGTATCGATATATCATGACAGAAAGTGCATCCGTTCTGTGGTGGGTGTGATGCGTCGCGTATTGATATCGTGACAGAAGGTGCATCTGTTTTCTGTGTACGTTTACGTTATATGTTATTTCATGTATTGTTCTGTTATGTTACATGTTCATTCCTTTGCGAGCTCTAGCCAAATTCTGCATCCTACCTTCTCTGTTACACAGATGTGCTGCCATCTCTAGTGGATTATGCAAAACTCATCATTGGCAAACTGGCACCCATGTGTGAGATGCAATCACTTGACCTTGAAAAGGAACTGCGATTTTTCGGTAAGAACAGCTAGTGTTTGCTTTTTAGTGTCCCCTGATTTATCGTAACATGTTACCAAGAGTACCTAGCATCTTAGACTTTGCTGGTTAATGATAGAGACGTGAGACCAGATGACAGTTCCAGAGTGCGAGTCCGGAGTCAAATACTCTCTGATTTACTGTCGGACTCCCTGATTACCTCCACGCAACGGAGTTGCAGGGAGGTAATGTAATCGGTCTCGTGTGTGTGTTCGTGTGTGTGTGTGTGTAGCGTTGGCGCGATTGATTCAGCACCAGCTCGCCTTAGGGCGTCCAGTCAGCAGCAGCTCGCCTTAGGGCGTTCAGTCAGCAGCAGCTCGCCTTAGGGCGTCCAGTCAGCAGCAGCTCGCCTTAGGGCGTCCAGTCAGCAGCAGCCAGCAGCGAGCCAGCTGTTATTATTATACACATGTATACATGTTACACGCTCGCGGAGGTATGCACTCTCTTTGAGTGCCCTCTGTCTAGTTTGACATGTGCAGGAGTCCGTGTCACTGTGACTCCCTGAAAATTCTGCCATACTAACTAGTTCGTTCGGAGCACGGCCTCACAGAATTACCATCTTTTTTTCAGGTAATGCTCAAAGAAAATTTGGTAGACATGCAACTGCATAAATCTTAAAAATAAGCACATGCGTTATTGTTAATATCTTGTAAATTTTAAACTTCAGACTACGGACTCCCTCATTTTGCCGCGGACTCCCTCTTTTTGAGGCCGTTGGACTCCCGTGTTCAAAAGTTAATTTCTACCCTTGCAGTTCTCATACATTCAAGCTAACTTCGCCCTTCATTCTATCGTACCTTCACCGGTATGGTCAGTATGAGGTGGTCACGTAAATATAAAACTGCATCTACTGTAGCTAGGTATCTACATACGGTAGAAGTACTATGGTCTAAGCATAAATGTAACACTACTCGTGTGGCCCTTCGCTAAACTGCAGAGGTATGTATCTATGTGAGCAGTGGTACATCAGATCTGTGGTCATATATATTTATTAATCACTGTTTGTGGACCATGATGGGTACATCGCTGCTGCCCCGCACCGCTACCTGTAGTTAGTAGCTACTGTGATGGGGTAAAAATCGGGTGGTGTGTTCGTCTTGCAGGCTCGGACGCCAGTTACTTCAGTAGCTACGCTGGTACCTGACGTTGTTTCTGTTTTCTGTGACGGGGTTTGACGTGTGTGTGTTCATCTTGCAGGCACGGACGCCGGTAACTTCAGTAGCTACGGTGGTACCTGACATTGTTTGCATTTTATGTGATGGGGCGGGGTTTAAACTTTAACGTCGGTCGTGTTAGTCTTTCAGGCATGGACGCCGGTAACGTCAGTAGCTACAGGGGTACCTCACACTGAGTGGTTTATGTTTTTTGTTACGGGGTTTAACATGTGTGTGTTCGTCAGGCAGGCACGGACGCTGGTAACTTCAGTAGCTACAGTGGTACCTGACATTGTCTGTGTTTTCTGTAACGGGGTTAAACGTGTGTGTGTTCGTCTGGCAGGCACGGACGCCGGGAACTTCAGTAGCTACGGTGGTACCTGACATTGTCTGTGTTTTCTGTGACGGGGTTTAACGTGTGTGTGTTCGTCTGGCAGGCACGGACGCCGGTAACTTCGGCATCGTCTGCTACAACAGGCTGCTGTACAGCGACGCTGCGTCATTCCTCACCCTCGCCTGCGACTACATCGCAGCGCGCTACGACACACTCACCATCGCAGACGCCGACCTCACCGCAAAGGTTGGTGCGGCGGAGCAGCGGAGGGGAGGGGAGGCCTGGATGGGGCTGAAGCTCCCTGCTTAGCAAAATTGTCGATGGTGGTGTCCCACTTCACTAGCGGTGGAACCCCACTACTGAGGGGTTAACTACATGCAGAACTTGAGTTTTCATGAGAATGCACAAGATAGGTCCATTTTGGTGCCAACTTTGAGTTTGGCTAAAATAGTTAGTGCTAAACTCCAGCTGCATGTCGTGCTTACCGACCGTATCAGTTACTATTTCTGAAAATGGAGATTTTAATGTTTTTCGACCCCCCCACACACACATAGATTGTATGTAAGGCACCCCCCAGCCACGCGTTTCTGCTCTAGCCGCTACGGGAGAGCTGGATGAAGGTGTTAATACGCACTGCTGCTGCTGCTTTATCTCCGACAGTCGTGGAACAAGTTCGAGACGTTGGCCGACTGCCACAGGAGGCTGGGGAATTTCGCCGTCGCTTTGACGACGATCGCTTGCGGCGCTCACGTGACGGGTGGCGCTGCCACCGTCAGCACTCTCGACCTGTGGGCCAAGGTCAAAAAGAATGCGGCAAAGCAGCAGGGAGGCCTTAAGATCCGAGCGAGGTTAGTTGGGTTTGGTTATCCCAAAATCCAGCTCAAAATTCCGCTCAAAATCCCGCCCATAATCCTGCTCAAAATCTCTCTCGGTATTGACACTAGCCCTTCTTTCCTCGCTGGCAGGACACTGAAGGACGAGCTAGAGGACCTGGTGGAGGCAGCGGAGGGAACGCGGCTTGGCGACGACGCCGTGCGGAGACTGCTGTGGATGGAGCTTGCAGCGTACCGGCGACAGCAGCAGCGAGACACGAGCATCGAGACTTACTCTGTCATCTGCGACCTGCTGGCATCGTGCCAGGAGGAGGCGGAGGAACACGCGGGGTTGTTCGTCGATCTCGCACAGGTTCTCTACTCCGCGAACATCGAGTCTGAATGGTGGGTTCATCACTCCAGCTATGGCTATAGGGTTATTGTCTACGATCAATTGCAAACAGCGGCGTGTTTTTTCTGTGAATGTGATGTTTGCTAGAGATCTACTTCTACTCAGTATTTGTTCTCAGCAAGTGCCGCATTAGAGACCTGCCAGTGAGTTCTGATATCTGCTGAGTTTTTTACAGCAATGGTACCACGTGTAAGAAACCAGCTATTGCTAGAGAATTGACATCAACCTGGTCTTACACATCATGTCTTCCATTACGACGTGTGCGTGCACATTTCGCGTTGTAGCTGGAGCAGTCGACGTCGGTTTTCCTCGCGGCGCTGCGTCTGCGAATGGCCGCCATGCGCTTCCAGCTTGTCGCCGACACGCCTGTTGCCCGCGTCGCCACCCAGGCCACGAGGGTCGTCGCCATCCTAGAGCGCGCCACCGCCAAGCAGGGGCAGCCGGCGGCCGCCGCAGCACGGGAGTGCATCGCAAGCTGCCTCGCCGCGCTCATAGAGGGAGCCAGCGGGCGGGCGTGTGATAACGACGCCGTCGCAACGATCGCGCTGTACGTCGAGGCGGCGCGGTGCGACGACCTCAGCGACCTCGACGCGACCATCGCCAGGGGGCGCCGCCACGTCGCCGAGCGCTCGCCAGGGGGCACCGCTGCTGCAGCGCTGCTCGACGCCTGCCTCGTCGTCTGCCACTGCGCGGGGGAGCTGCGACTCGTCGCCGCGGAGACGGACGTCAGCGTCAACCTCTTCGACGCGAGTACGGATCGAGACGAGGCGAGGTGGCGAGGCATGCGAGAGAGGCTGCGCGGCTGCCTCCGCGCGATGCGGTCGCTCACGGCGACGGACGCCGCCGGTGGCGCCATCTACCGCGTCGCCTCGGCCACGTACCTCCACCTCGTCAGGAGCATCGCCGACGCGTCGAGCCGTCTCCACGGCAACAAGACGACGATCGACGTCCGATTGGTCGGCGACGTCGTCGGACTCGTGCGCGCGACGTCGGACGTGCTGCACCGCGTAGACGGCGGCGGTGGCGGATGGGTGTCGCCATCTGGGGAGACGAACGGCGAGCAGAAGGCGGCGGCGGCGTGTCGTCCGATTGTGTTGGAGGCGAGAGGCATGTGCGTTCTCTGTCAGCTGCTGATCGATCAGTTGATTCGCGCCGACGCTGGTACGTGCATCTGTTATCTAGTAGGTGCAGGGTATTAGCCAGGAATGAGTATTGTGGGAGTGCAGAAAAAATATTTGGGAGTGCAATTTTACAAATGTACACGGCTTTAGATCAATATTTTAGGCCGTGCTACACATTTTTGGCCGTGCAGTTTCAAAACTGACCGTGCAAATCACGGCTGCACGGCTCGCTGGCTAATACGTTGAGTAAGTGTGATGCGTCACGTATCGATATCGCGACAGAAAGTGCATCCGTTCTGTGGTGGGTGTGATGCGTCGCGTATCGATATAT